GACTACACAACTGTCAAAGTCATCAAACTACATGACGTGCCATCATTTGATCACAAGTCTTGCAGATGTGAGTTCATACTACACGACTGACTGGTGACAGGGGTCCTTCACAACACGTGTTTGGTAATACTTCTGAACTCTGTCATAGTTGTCTGTAGTTGTCACTGATTGATCTGGATATTTTGCCTGCTGGGAACATAGCTAGAGTCTGCGACGTGTCAGCGAGCCCCTCAGATCAAAGAGTTCCAACACAGAGATAAGCGACTGCATTTTGAATGCTGATTCAGCGACTTCCAAAATTTGTTGGCGATTGGAAAATTGGGAATCACAAGACTTAAGCGTTACAGAAAATCAATTTTAAAAAGTAATGGTACACATTGGAAAATACTGCCAATGTGTAAAGCAAATCTGATAAAGCTGTGACTGAAAAATTGGACAGGCAAGTACAGGAGTGGGTGACAGTGGTGGTTGAGGTGATTGTGTGTATGTGTGTGTGTGTGTGTGTGTGTGTGTGGTGGGATAATCACTCCATGCAAATCATTTAAGCTCTGCTCTTTCATCTGCACACAGTAAACCAGTCCTCGCCATTCATTTGTGATAACCAAGTTTCTCACTGTGCTCGACTACAATAGCAAACTGACAACATGACGCTAGGCCGCTGGAAACGGCGCCGCATGCAGCGGATTTAAACTTCAAATTTAATGAAAGGACTTCCCACATTCACTGGTGGTTCTCTCTATACCCTGCTGGGAACAGTGGCTCCTTATTCTAACACACACTAATGTAGGCATCCACTATGTGTACGCTGTACACACATAATTACTTCTCTTTCAAAAAGGCTGATATACAATGGTGTATATTTTCAACATATTGTACATGCAACTGAAGAATGACCCAATCTGGCTTAGTATCCTCTATCTGCAGCACGGACTCCAATGTCCAATTACCAATGAGGTTCAATGAAGCTATAAAATAAAGAATGATTTGTGTATTCGCTCACTGTTTTCATCCTTATTTTCTTATATGTACCCAGAGGCCTTTCCTCGACATTTATTTTGCAAATCACTGCCTCTTCTTCACAATGTCTGCAACATTCAGAGGGAGAATACATCCAGTTTCTCCACGGATGACACCGCCCACATCAATTTATTCCCCTGAGCCTGTGTTGCGATGTCCATCCTGTAATAAGCAATGATAATTAGAAGAAAACTGTATGAATGTTTGACCTAAGCTAATTAGAAAGTTTGCAGACTTGGCAGCAGGAATCAGCAGTGGGATAATGAATCATAAAATGGTTCATTACTGCACTCAGGGAACACTCTCAATCTCAATAAACGGACATGGGGCCTAGCAGACAAATCAAACCAGGATGGATACACCGCCTCATTTAGCCCGCTGAAAGGATCACAATAAAAAAAAGAAAGATGTTTTTTTGCTATTATTAAAGTGTCTCTTCTCCTTTCATCCCCTCTCACCCCTTTCTTTCTATCTCTCAGTCTATCTGTGCCATTCTCTCAGTCTGTCTCCAAGGACACTCATTTTCATGTGACTGGAAATTTAAGATGCCATTTTCTGGAAAACAGCCAATTTATTCAGTACATTAACAATGTGTACAAATCAAAGTGAGCTACATTCAGTGTGAGTGCTAATAAACAACACTCGTGAATTTCACAATAACTGTTAAGCATTGTGTGCTGTACTTTGGACTGTGCTCCATTCTTCCTACAGTTTTCTTTTCTGTGCCTTTGCTCTGGCCTCCCCCTGAGGAACAAGCATTCAATCTACCCACTCACATCACTTCTTCTTCTGCTTATCCTATACCCACAGATATACTATAGATCCAGACCTCTGCAGACCCAGAGGACAACAATCTGCCCACATTAGTTTCCTCAGACATCCTCTCCAAGGCACCCTGCAGGCTCCCAATGGCAGGGCCAGAGTAGAACTCCACACACAGATAAACAATCCACCTTTTACCATCTCTCTAAAACTATTGAAACTCTACTAACACGAACCCTGTGACATGAGCTTTAAGTAAAGTTCTGCAAGATAAGTTAATTAAAAGAGTGCTTCACTGATAATGCTGAGCTGGTTGTCTTTGTCCCTTCAAATAAATGGGTAGTTAGTCAGGGAGTAAGCAAATTTATGTTCCGATCCAATACCACGTCTTTAAACTATATTAGTTCCACCCAGATAAAACTCCAACTCTTGGAAATCCCTTCTGCTGCTCCAAAACAGCATGTTGCTTTGTACCGCCACTGGCAAGTACCGTTTTTAGAGCAGTGGAGAAAAGATTTCCAGTAGTGTAGCATTAGCCAGTGCAGCAGCAAAATTTGGAAACCACTTCCAAACGACACGATACATTTGACAAGAGAGATATGCAACAAACATGTCCATTTCATTGTTTTAGACGACCACCCTGTTGAAATATAGAACCACTGCACTGTTTGCAGGGTGTTGTTGCAGTTCCACCTTTGTTTTTCACTGTGAAAGATGTTCTTTTATTAACTGTGGCCGAACGCAGTTTTTAAAGGAATTGCTATTTTTTTCTGAGATTCAATTAGTTTTTGAAGTTGCTGTTGCATTAACTAATATTACTATGCTGTTAAAACCTTTTTCTTAAATGTGGCGACACTATAAGAACTTTTGTCCTTAGTGATTCTTTTTTATATTATTTTAATATTTTGTCTTCAAAAAATGAAGAAAAAAACACAAAATCCATGCTCCACTGATTCAGCATTGCACTCACGCCTTTATAAAATAATGGATTCAGCAAAACCAGAGAAATCGTCATTTATATTCAACTCATTCTTCCTGCTCCTCACCAAAATGCCTACATTATCCACAATGCAACTTGACTGCTGACAGTGTGACCTGAGATTCAAGTGTGTTATGTGAGAGCCGGCTAATGTAGCCTTAAGCCTTCAGCCTCAGGCAGAGATGAGGCGTGATCAGGTACAGAGCTACTTTCTCACTCCATCCCCCTATTTTCTTCATTTTCAAACATGTAGACTTCTGACCCAACATATACCGACTCAAGTTACATGTCTCTTGAGGCAAACCATCAGATTTGGAGCAGCTCAATCGAAAGGCTTTGAAAAACATACAAATACTGTTTGTAGCATCACTCCCATGCAGGACCTGTAAATAGATACTAATGTGTAAATTATTTGGAGTTTCCCTTTAACTTTGTCTACATTGCACCTCTATCATGTCAAGACTGATGATTAGAAATTCTACATTTGTGTTAATTTAGTTGGGTGGCAAAGCGTCTTTAAGAATTTGAGCAGCAACATGTGTTTCATTACAGTTTTGTTTTTTTTAAATCACCTGAAACACAACGCACGTTCATAATGGAGTTAGCACAAAATTGGCAGTTGCCAATCTCAGCACAGCAGACTGCGCAATGGGAGCTAGCTACACAACATCAACAGTAAACATTTCCACAGAAGAGAAGAGGAAAAAAACTAATTCTATGCACTGTACCACTTTACTTGTCTGGTCTCCGCCAGGCTCAATCAAGAGGCCTTTATTCTCTCACTCATATCTTCAGACAGGGGAACCAGAGCTGGCACAAAATGGCTCCGGGAACAATGTGCAGACCTGATTGCTCTATTGTGAGTTAGCTGTGGCCTTTGACATCTCCTCCTGAACCAAGAGGGTCTAATTCAGACAAGATTTGTCTGGAGACACAGCTGGAGGGCATTGTTACAGGAAGGTGCCATACACCGCCTCTTCAACAAAGACGGCAAAGAGCTCGACAATAAGAAAAAATAAATAAAAAAATCACCATGGCAAGAATGGCTCTGTCTGCACATGGCTTCTGGTTTTTGAGTCTTTAAAGAGGCCGGGACAGAGCGTCCAAAAGGTTAGAGGTGGGTAACAGAGGGAACATGCCAAGCAAAATCAGAGTCCCCCAAGGTACATGTGTTCCCTTTTGTCCATTTGGCAGCTGCAGACTAAGGAGGGTGTTATGTCCGCGGGGCAGAGCGGTGCCAGGCACGAAGGGCAGAGTCCGCAAGTGACACAGTCAATGCCCTTGCGTGTTAAAAAATAAAATAAATAAAAAAATACAGTAGGAATGTGGTGTCTGTCATCTAAAATCATGTTAGTGTGCTAAAGTGCTGGCTGACGTCAAAAGAGGAAGAGATTGAGCTAACCGACTGAAAGGTCAAAAATACAAAATAAAAGATCTATCCATGACCAAGCACTTTGTGTGACAATGTACACACATGACACATTTAAATACTAGAGTTCTTCTTTAGGATCTGCTGTCAGGGGACAACAAATACCACACAATCCAATGATGAAAACTTTACAAGCAGGTTACATGCTCATGGTAAAAGATCATTCAGCAAACAAAACAAACTTTAAGCCCCTATCCATCATCTATGATCTACTCTGCTTTAAAGGAGGCGGCCGGGGCCAGATGACATTGGCTGAGAGGTGAAGTACACCCTGTACAGGTCACCAGTCCAGCACAAGGTCGAGACAGAGCTACAGGAATTCTGCCCCAAATCTGAAAAAAACTAATGCAAAGGGATAAATGACCCTTCATTCTATCGACCTGTCACAACAACAGACAGCAGTGGGACACAGAAATCTGTAAATATGTATTATGACACCATCAACCATTTGTATATGTTCTATTGTTAACAACTATTGTTGTTAATTTTGTTGATATGATTCTTTGATTGTCTTCTGTGCTTTGGTATCACATGTAAATGTCAAGCCAATAAAGGTTACTGAACTGCATTGAATAGAGACAAACAACAGTCACTCCAATTAACCTAAGCTGCATGTCTTTGGACTGCAGGTGGAAATTAGAGAAAACCAAGGCAGACACACATGCAAACTCCACACAGAAAAGCCGGTTGGTAGGTTCAAACCCTGAAACTTGTTGCTGTGAGGCAACTACTGCAAAATTGAGAATTTCTCAAGCCTGTGTAAAGTCACTCACTAACCAGAAGAATTAAGAGAAAGTATTGATATGAACTTACAGCCTTTGTATATGTCTGTAGGAATCTGGACGGCACTGGAGGAGTAGTTGACCTTGTTTTTGAAGTTGGGATCGTCCACAAACTCCAGCTCCAAAGAGGATGTGCTATCCAGCAGGCTCTCCTCTTCTCCGTCCTCCGCCTGCATGTGCACAAAGACACACACACAGACACAGAGACACACACACATATCTGAGTGAGCAAACAAATACAAGTGGATATAAAAAGAAGGGAAACATGGAAATATGGTACCATCTCTTTGAGGTTTTATAGCCTCCATCTGTGGCTCTGGTACGTATGATGAATCTTTCTTTCTAGCGACCATATAAGCTGCTTTCAGAAATGCACCTAACTACAGACTTTGCCCTGAAGTTTTCTAGAGGGGCTGTACGTATATATAAGAAAAAGAGTGGGCCCATGTTAGAATACAGCAGGAAAATGTCCAAAAACTTAACAGCGAGCAAGTGGGTGTGTCGATGACATTTCTAACAGGTGAAACTAAACAGAAAAAAGACAAATAATGAAAATATCTCACAATGGAAAAGAGGCGCTATACAAACCAAAAAAAAATCAGATGATGTCTACAGCTGAATTTATACGCCATGTTCTATGCAGGCTCCGCCCCTCACCTGAATGTTCTGGACATTTTTCTTGCTGTTGTAAACCTGCAAAAATCTCCTGCTGTGTTATGTGAAAGGCAAACTCCACACCCAATTTTACAGAGATTTTCTGGAGTTTATTTGTAAAAACGGCTAAAATCAAAGCCTTCAGATACTGTTAAGCATACAAATATCAATTACTCTGACTTTTTCCGCCTTTAGGTTTTGGCGCTTCTATTTCCTCCCTCTCATCAGAGAACAGCAGCAGGTATCAGAGCAGACACCAAGCAGAGAGAGTCATTAGTACCCGAGATGACTTATCACAGACACACAAGGTGGCGTACAAATTAACCCCAACAATAACTAGCAACCAACACCACTTAATCACTGTTTAGCGTCCCATCCATCTGAATGATAACATCTTTCCTAGTGCTGTATCCTCTCTCTCTCTCTCTCTCTCTCTCTAGAAAATAGAAACATGCTAAATCTGAACAAAATGTGTTTGCTTCTGTTCATCTTTGCAGTCGTGCCGTGCTACACGACGAGAAAGCCTGACACACGTGTTGCATTGGGAAAAGTGTCAGATATCAAAGAAAGCCAGAAGATAAAAAAAGGCAAAACTGACATTTAAGCTTTTTATCTAGATAAGTTATCAATAGAGTACAATCTGTGCCTGTTCCCACAGGAGGAACTGATTGTGGGATGTGGAGAAAAAAAAATGGCAGCGAGATAGAACGTCCCTCTCCGGCTGAGTTTATTAACTTATTCTTGATCTTGCTCACTGAAAACCCTGTTAGATATGTTCTTAGAAAACAGCACAGATACCAACTGAGCAGGTCACATCCACAACATCAAGATAAAATAATAAATTATACAGCGTCGAGTCACGGAGGGATCTTTGTGAAATAAAGACGATTTAACTAATGTGTGCTCATGCACCAAGCTCTTTGATACAGCGCTGTGGAGAAGTAGCCCTCAGCGCAGTGTGGCCTCATGCCTCTATCATTCTCCCTTCATTAGTCATCCTTCATTAGCCTTCATTTATTGGATATTTGTAAAACAAAAACTCATATTTCTGGTCATTCCGCAAGCGCTCCGACTGCTGAAAAAAATGCTTTAAAATACAGCTTGTGAGTTTCAATTTAATAGAGTGGCATGGGTTAACTGGATCTGACGTGATATAAACTATTTGGGTTTTTTTGTTGTTTTTTTGGGGGTAGAAATTAAATCAAAACCCCATGTCCATGGCAGAAACTGATTGATGGGCCAACTCTAATTGACTATTAAAATGCAATTACAAGCTGTCGGTGGGACGAGCCGAGGGAGAGTTGTGCTTAAGGTCCTGTTGAAAGTCAACATAAGAAACAGTTCAGTGCTGTGATGGAGACCAGCTCATGAGGTGGATGTGAAACATATCAGGACGGATGAATGAGTCCTGGGTGGACACACCTGACATTCAACACATGGATTATCACCCACCTCCTCAGATCTGCTTTTAATGTGGGATTCATTTTGTTTATTTTATATGCTTTCACTGTTTTTAACCTATGTTAAATGCCATTGTTGAAAGCCCTGTTCAATAACAATCATCAAACTGGTGACTTCAAACTATTACACTTGCTTAAAGATCATCAAATTAAATGTTCGGTATGTTATTCATTTCTCCTAACCTTAAATCTGAGAGCGTTTTAGGAATGAAGGCCAGATGTGTAATTCTGATAATGATTAAATATACAGCTAATAAAAACAATTGTTAATTTTATCATTACCTCAAGACAGAGGGGTGTGTTTTTGTGAGAGTTCATCTGACGGATCATTAACATGAGGTAAGATCTTGTCCGACTGATATCTTAGGTAAATGATCTTTCAGTTAATCAGTGTTGTAAATGTTGCTCTGATCTTCTGCTCTAATTCAATATGAATGTTTTAGGTTAAAAAAACACAGAGGGAAAGATCGAAACGGAACTCAAGATGTCGAGAAGTAAAATGTACTGTTGAATACTTTTGTTAGAGTTTAGTGCAGATTTGTTGACACACTTTTGACTGACTACCTATTAACATTAAACCTGATTAGTTTACGGATGTCGGCTTTTCACCAGCACTAACTGTAAGGTTGAGGTGTTTGTTTATCACGCAGTCTGACACTAATTCTTGAGTTGAGTTTTTTTTTTTCTTTCTGTCTTCAGAAGAGCCCAATCATAATTAACCAAGGCAGCATCTAATTAGGAGCGAAATACATCCACACAGGAAAGACTGATTGGTTCATTTTCTTCAACCATCCACCACCTGTTTTGCTCAATTCATTACCCAATTTGTTAATTTTATCTACCCCTTTCTCGAGGTTTAATTAAAGGCTGAAGAGGCCAGAGATGACATTTTGAAGATTCTCTCGCTCCCGCCTTCAGCCGACCAGGGCTAACCTGAAAGCTGTTGTTTGTGACTCTGTGTGTGTGTAGTGTGCGTGTGCTCGTGCAATTGAACGAGTGCATAACATACATAAACGGTTGCTTTTGATGCATTTAATGTAAAATATTCCTCAAAAGAAAAACAGAAAATTAGTCAAGAAAGATAAATTGTGCCTAAGGATATGATTAACAACATTTTTCTGCCAGGGTATAAAAGTATTGCAGTGAAAGTTGGATAATGTAAACTAAAAAAAGAATTTGCATTGCATATTGCAGAATGCTTTCTCTGCTGAGGTGTACGTTATAATCTTTTATGGGGGCTGATTTTATACACGCTTTTTAATCAGTGGTAAATAAGACTTTTAAGTGACAATATAGTTCTACTTTAGTAAAACTGGGCGGTCGAGAGGTAAGGAATTAAAAATAAAACTTAAATCTGTGTGTGTAATAATGGGATATGATAATGCATGCATTTGTTTCAACCTAAAAGCAGGGGTGAATATCAGACATGCTTTGGCACATTTTGACTTTTAAATGATCACATTACACTTTCATATCGAAGGTACAGTGACAAGTGGAGAAATTAACAGGGTTTAGAGTACAGGATAATGAACAGAGGAGACAAGGCTCGGATAAGAGAGTCTACCAGTCACTTACCTTTAGTGAAACTCAATTCTCCTCATATCTCGCTCAGTGGAGACTTAATTGAAAAAGGTCATCATAGGAGGAATCAAGATTCAGCTAGTGGAGTAACTAGTGGGCGGCTGTTGGGGTTGCAGGGATGAGGAATGACCCCTGCGTGACCTTCGCTGCCGTCTTTGGGTGGTGGTGGGGCTGCTAAAGTGGGGGGTCAGGGGGTGTGTCACTGGCTCGGCCTCAGTGTGCCATGTTAATGATGACCGATGTTCTCCAATTAGATGTGCTGACAGGCCCTAAAGCGCTGTGTCATTAATCACAGGAGTGGTGTGCACAAAGAGAAAATCACACCATGATTTATTGCTTGTACGCCTTCCTTTCTCACTCTCTTCTCCTCTCTATCTCACTCTCTTCCCATCTTTTGGCGCTTTGGTGATCTACGGGAGGGGAATTCTCGCACTACTCCATGAAACTCAATCACTCAGCGGGCAGGGGCTGTGAGTGGGATGGGTCCTGAGGAGGAACTAAAGGTGGTAGCCAGCCTGGAGGCAGTGACACCACGAACTTGCAGGTCTTCTGTGGAGGGAGCTGCATTACTCAGCCTGCATGCCTCTCTCTTAATGGCATTTATAGTCATTACTATGATTGACATGCATTGCAGGAATTGTGTTCTGGTATATAAAAGCATGATGTGGCTCGTGTATTGTTTAAGGCGTCTTGAAAAGCACAGAGGTCCGCAGGTGACACGGTTAGGGTCTGGGGTGAGGAGAAAGAATACTCTGGAAGTTAGACTGGGGGAGGACAGCTGAAGTCAGTGTCACATGCACGTCGGCCCGCTCCTGCTCTGTCAGACCAACTCACCATAAAGCAGTGTCACCTCACTAACACACACAGACAGCCCAGGGGTCTGTGACCAGAGGCGGGACAGGAGAGGGGGCATCAACATCGAAGAGGCCACGGGGGAGAGGGTGGGGTTGCTGGTAGAGGGTGGCAGGGGAGGGAAGTAAGGGGGATTCGAGGGTTTGAGGCAGGCAGGCGGGGGAGCGGGAAGCAGTCCGTACTGTACTCACATAGTCTGAATCCGCTTTGGAATCGTAGTATGAAATGGCATTCTCCTGTGCAGAAAAGAAAAGTGAAAAGACAGATGATGAGAGAAGATATAGCAGCGCCGACAACAGCCCCCGACTCTTCGCGGTGGTAAGCGAGAGAGTCGTGGTTATATTCCATCACACTGTTCAGCATGAGAATATAATCAGCATCACAGAACACAGGAGGAGTAGTGTGATGTGGAATGACAGTCATGAAAAGGCGAGCAGATAGCTGCAGAGATATTGAAGGATGTAACGCATCTGGGAGATGCTATTGTTAAAAAGATGCGATGTAGTATGTTGCACATGTTCACACTGTAGGAACATTGTCATGTTTGGAAAAACTGTTGGAAAAATGTCGTTTGTGTGGCGCTGTGTGGTATGAGCTCAGATGTGACATGGAGAGAGAAGAATAAACTCAAAATATTCCTCTCCCTGGGAGTCTTATCAGCCTCAGCTGGCTGCGTTTTCAGTCTGGGCAAACAGCTCTCACAGGAGGAGCCAAGCAGAAAGAGGAAAAGAATGTGAATTCATGCCATTGTGTTTCCTTATTTTGCTCTAATTACCAACTAAACTTTCCAGTCAGCAGCTGAAGCCCCTCAGCACCAAGCTTCCGGCCTCTACCCCAAGCGGGACCCCTCAACCCGGACTGTTAGTCTGCTGTCCTCATCTCCTTTAAACCGCTGTTCTTATCTCCCGCAGAAGCAGGTGTGAGGGCGGGCATGGGCTGCATGGTGCGAGTGAGCAGCGTCTGTGGGGCCTGCATCATTATCATGAGAGAGGCTGGCTGAAGATGCACTCTCAAGGGCACCACAGTGACTGACTTGCCCTCACTGGAAGAACTGTGGTCATGGTCTAATGAGGGACAACAACAGCGAGAGGAATAGAGAGAGTCCTCTGTACAGGTACAGTAAATGTTACAACTCTGAGTCACGCACTTTCTATCCATACTTTGCCTCTTTATTGCTTTCACCATGTTTTGCTCCTCACTGTTTTCAACTTTCTCCCTCAGCCGCACACGCGCACACGCACACAAGCACGCACACACGCACGCACACACGCACACACACACACACACACACACACACGTATTTTCTGTCTGTCAGCCCTCATCTTCCCTGCAGTTCCCTTTCGGCACGAGAGCCTCTCTGTGTAGCACAGCCCGGGATCTTGGCCGGCCTCCAGTGCTAATCAGACAATCAGTCATCAGCTCAGTCCCCAACAACTCACCAAGGGATCAGAGTATGATCAAAACTCACACTGACACCAAAGATGGGGCACACCAGTCTGCATGGATGCAGATCGTGTCTCTTGGAAATGAGAGTGGACGAGACAGAGAAGGAGCAAGATCTGCCTCCTCAGCACCCCCCTGAAACATCTCCCCAACTTACCAGCACTCCCTCTCTCCCTCCCCCGGCTCTACACGAGAGATCAGGAGTGAGGATGGAAGGAAAGGAGGTGAGCGGCCGGATCACGGCGGATCATTCTGGGAGTGCATTTGGGCTAAGTCTGGGAGTTAGGATGGAGGCTGAGGTCAGGGCGATATGAAGGGATGAATTGAGAGGAGAGAGATGGGTGGTGTTGGAGGGTGGTGGGTCCAGTGGGGGGAAAGAGCTGCCGGAGCTAAAAATAGCCCGTGCCTCTGCAGAGAGAGAAGAGAAAGAGAGAGAGACTGTGGCAGAGCAACAGTGTTGTTGTGTCTGCCAGCAGGATTGATCTGGAGCCCAGTCCTGCTTAGACTGGTCCCTCGCTTCTAAAGAGTTTACCCTCACTACTGCAGCATTACAACTCATTATTCAGGACTGATTCCTGTAAATAAACACTCGGTTCCTTATACCCAGGCGACACTGTCCAGCAGCTTTACTCCAACAAGTAATACACTCAAAACAAATATTGCACACATTGCTGGAGAGACTTCCGTATGTGGTGCTTTGTGTAAACTTCATCACAGCATTGTTATTTTGTACATTTCCCTTAATAAGGCCCCTCATTGCAAATAATACCACAGATAAAATCCTGAATATATATGTGGAGAAAAATATGCATACATGTACAGGCTTCTACACAGGGCATAAGGGCTCATTGGATGGTTTGATGTGCAAAAAAATAAAATGAATAATATTTGACAGCCTTAGCAGTCAAGAAAAATTACACCAATTTAATATTTATACACAGATGTGTGTATATTAACTTTAATATTAGCACGTATCTAAAGAAGGTTACAAAGTGCCTCACAAAATCCATGGCAAAAAATTAATGAACTCAAATAAAGGGTATTCAATTCATTTCAATTTGAAGCGCCAAATCATAACATAACATAATAAGGCTGTGTGTGAATGTGTTATCCATCCATCCATCCATTATATATGCTGCTTATCCTTTTGAGGGTTGCAGGGAGGCTGGAGCCAATCCCAGCTGATATTGGGCTAGAAGCAGGTTACGTCCCGAACAAGTCCCCAGCAATGTCTTATACAGCGCCATCATAAAACCGAACATTAGTTCATGTGTTTTAGAAAAATGGTGTTTATGTCTCCAGTAGAGTTTGACATGGCTTTGTACCCAGCAGCACCTTTCTAAGACATGTTTCGTTGTTTTCTTACTTTTATTGGTCACATCTGTATTGGGTTTGCACAGCTGGACAGCTGTGTTCGTTGTAATTAAACACTTATGGTTGCAACCGCATTAAAGTGAGCACAAGCCATTTATAATATGTATGTGTAATATAGTGCTTTAATGTCCTATGTAGATCTGCTCTAATTTCATTGGGCACAGCAATTATGTGAGTGCAGAGTAAAATAATCTCTTTGTAAACACTACCGCTTCAACTCAGTTAATAAACAATTTGTACTTGAACTTATGCGTCTAAAGTTGCTGCCTTTGCAATATAATGAAAATTAAACCGATAAACATAATTACATGAGCATAAGAGGAACAACAATTGTACCAATTAACGCAACCTCCAACCACGCAATCTGACAAGCACACACACACACACACACACACCCCGCACAGACATGCACAGAAGAGGTGGCTCCATGTGGATGAGTCCTAGGCCACCATGACCCTCTGAGCAGCCCCAGGGGCTGCATGGCCATCTGCTGCGGCTGGTCACAGGCCTCTACGGGCTCAGGGTCAGGGTTAAACACATGTCTGATACAACACCAAGCCAGAAATCCCCACCCTCTTCTCTCTGCAGGCCCCGTGCATTCCACCAGTGCATAAACATAAACACAGATCAGCCACAACTTTAAAACTACTGAGTGGTGAAATGAATTATATTGATTATCTCATTACATGGGCACATGTCAATAGGTGGGATAGATTAGTTAGTTAACAGTCAGTTCTTGTGAATGATGTGTAGGAAGCAGGACGAATGAGCCTTGACAAGGGCCCGATTGTGATGAGGAGACGACTAAGTCAATGCGTCTTGCTGGGTGTTCCCGGTGGTTGGAACTTAGCAAAAGTGATGCGTCTAGATGGTGACTATAATGGAATGCTGTCAGAACCCACAAGGCATTGCAGCTGTGCAGACGCATACCGATCAAGACACGTGTCCAACACGGAAAGCACCTGCAATAAGTAGGTGGGCGTCAGAATTGGATCGGTTGAAGGAGGTCGTCTGGTCTGATGAGTCAAGTTTTCATTGACATCAGCGATAAGTAAACTTTTCCTTGTCAGGTCCATTTCTATATTTCTAACAATCTTGCAAGGGTCATACTGAAGATCACACCAACCTCTCAGAGGCATCTGATATCAGAATGGTGATGAGGCTACTCTAAGCTATTTTTCCAAGTTTGAGTCAGTCAATCTTCAAAACAATGTGCTCAAACAAACCCATTCCTTTTCTCAGCCGACGAATTCAACAATTCACACCATGTCGAGCTCAGAAAAATGAGTTTGGTGTTATGTTGCTTCATTGAAGGCCAGAGAGAAAAACTGGACATTTTTTCAATATCCTGTGCCACATCAATAATCCACCCTGAGAAGATTGGTCAAGGCATGGAAACAGACACAACAAATTATTTTGTCCAGTTCTTGCAGCTCTGCAGCAGCAACACAATGCTCCTTCTCAAATTCTCAAAATGAGGTTTCAGGCTGTTAACTTGCTCGACACAAACCTTGTCAGAATGTGATCTTGTAGAAGCCGCCTGTTGGGCACCCGAACTCTGCTGAGGATTGTTAGTTTAACCTGAGTACCTTTGTCTTCGCGACATATCCAGTTCAGCTGCATGTTTACGGCTGTAGTCTCGAAACACTGGCTTGTCTTTTACCTTCGTGTCATTTGTCTTTAAAAACAATCCACATCTACATCCTTTTTTGACAGTTGCCAATTTTGTCGGCAACAACACTGACGACTTTCTGTGTGTTTCGTTCACCTTGACCATAACCAGAGACAAAAGCAACCGCCATAAAAGATATGTTCGTCTGCTATTTTGTCCCAGACACTGGACATCCCCCACCCCTGTTTCATACTATGTGGAAAGGGTATGTGCCTTTTACCCGGGGAAGAGATGGCAGCAGGATGCACTGTGGGAAGAGCGAAATGTTCTACTGGGAAATCTTGGTGCCGAACGTTTTGACATGTACAATCTAAATCAGACCAAGAACACCCATTCATGGTAACAGTATTCCCTGATGGCAGTGGTCTCTTTCAGCAGGATAAAGCACGCTACACTGCCAGTCCACACCTCAACAGCACCGAGCTGTTTTGGGGACACAAGGGGGACCGACACAATATTCGGCAGGTGGTTTGAATGTTGTGACTGATCAATGGATAATACATAACCCCATGGATACAGATACTAATATTTGGTGTGTACACACTATATACAGAGTGAGTGTGCATAGAGAGCTGTGGGTACACACGCACACAACAGACGCACACACAGAAACACAAAGTCTAAGAAATTCCCACTGACACAAAGTGCTATCAGTAAATTAAATCTATCATGCTGAGTGGACCAACAAATTCCAAACAGGAGACAAACACTGAGGTCAGGTGATGATCTCCAGCCCCTCCCTTACAT